TCAACCACGTGTTTAATTACCTATTGCGAAAATGTCTACTTTTGTGCCAAATAAAGTGTTTTTGCGGGGAATTTTATTGCACTGCTTTATTCAAAAGAAATCTGCAGCTGAAGCACACAGAATTCTGTTGAAACATATGGTGACAATGCTCTGTCGAATACGACATGCAGAGACTGGTTTAGGCGCTTTAAAAATAATGACTTTGACCTTGAAGATAAAGAACGTTCTGGAGCACCGACAAAGTTTGAAGACGAAGAATTGGAGGCATTGCTTGATCTAGATCCATGTCAGACGCTAGTAGAGCTCGGGAAAACATTGCAAGTAGATGCGTCAACAGTTTCAAAACGTTTAAAAGCGTTAGGAATGATCCAAAAGTCATTTTGTTACATGACAATGCTCGGCCACATGTGGCAAAACCAGTCAAAACTTACCTGGAAACGCTTCAATGGGAAGTTCTACCTCACCCGCCGTATTCACCGGACATAGCCCCCTCGGATTACCACTTGTTTCGGTCGATGGCGCATGGTTTGAGCGAGCAGCGCTTCCATTCTTTCGAAGAAACCGAAAAATGGGTCGATTCATGGATTGCGTCAAAAGATGAATCGTTTTTTCGACGGGGGATTCAATTACTGCCAGAAAGATGGGAGAAAGTGGTCTCTAATGATGGACAATACTTTGAGTAAAGTTATTGTAAGCCTTATATTTTAAATTAATGTTTTTTTTAACAAAAAAACAGCGAGAACTTATTCAAGGTCCTAATATATAAAAAGTATCTGAAGAATTATAGTACAATCAAAACGTGATTCTTCGTGATAGTCTCGAGAAAGGATCCGATCCTTCGAAGTATGTATCATAAACTTTGATTTATGTTCAATGCATGGTTACATCTTGTTACAGTTTTTGCTGATTTATCGGAAAGCGCGCGCTGGTGAGTTAGAACAAGATTCCGGATTAAGCCAACTGGCTAGACTCACCGAAGTTGATGTCGACGAAGTCGGCGTTACAGGAGCTAAAAACTTCTTCGAAGCTAAGGTATATTTCCAATCTTTTTATTGTCATAAAATATTTTTTAGATCGTAAAGTTCTTTTTAAAAAATTAATAGTTTAAGATTTTTTCTTATTTGATTCTCTATCGGATTTTTTCAAATTGCTTATTACTTACAATTAGGTATACCATGTCAGAGTAAATTATATTGTATTTTACATGACTGTATATTATATGTATATTTAATATAAATTGTAATATTACTCATCGCTATCAAAGAATTCTAACTCTTTCATAGCGATACGAGAAAGAGATACAACTTCTTATCAAATCTTGTTCAGTGTGTTTCCACACAATCGTGTAACATACACATTTCCTAGTCGTATACGGTCGTAAATGACACATGAGGTAGGCCCAGAAAGTTAATTCAGCGTGTCGTACGAGCTGAAAAAAATATACGCGCGAAAGCGTAACCCGAACGGGTCGTATTTCGCACGCGCTCCGATTAGCACTTCTTTTTCACAGATCGAGCAACTCCGAAAGTCTTCAAAATTCGAAGACGAGATTCGCATGGAACAGGAGGAACGAAAGCGAGAGGAGGAAGAAAAAGCAGCGCGGCGGGAGCAATTCCGACAGAAAGCTGCGATCTTCGGCAAATAATTGATGAGCGAAAATAGTCGGCTCGACGACTTGTGTTGTTAGAATGCGTTAGACAGATTGCCTTGGATTGTTTAAGTTTATTTCCGATGCTCGTAGCCGTCGCGATATCGACGTCGCCAACGAACGGCTCTATAAAGCATTAAATGCGTTCCAAAGCGTTGTGAAATCGTGACTCGATCGCGACGGCAATTGTTAGGAGAATTCGAAGCGAGGATTGAAACCGCGACATAATTTTCAATTGAGTTCAATTTTCTGTATCTATTAGCGCTCGCAGGAAACATTTTACTCCGATCGTTTTGTTTTCTTTTTTATTCAATATAAATGGATTACTTATATACGTCAAAACCTGAACTCAAAAAATTATAACGATTTTGGTCTTTGATTTGAAGACTGTTGAATTTTTGTAGTATGCGTATTTTGGATGTAATGAATGCTTAAATTTTGTCTTCGAAGCGAAATAAGTTATAATAGCGACAATGATAATTTGATTACAATCTTTATTATATATTTGACGACACTAACGTTTGAAATACGCTATTACAAAGAGTCTGTAGTTAATGTTTATATAATCGTATTCCTGTAGATAAATCGGAGATTTTGAAAAGTTGTTGATATATCTATTGACTGGCACACACATATCTATCCTATAGAAATATTTTAAGAGCTGTCATAGAGTTTTTATTTTATAACAAAGATTTGCATAGTCAGAATTTGCGCAAATTATTACAGATATTTTATAATAGCGATTTTAATAATGTATGTATTGTAATATAAAATAGTCAATGATACAAAAGTTAAAAAGTAAAATATTGATTGCACAAAAGTTGTTAAATATATAAATGTTGATGCACAAGAATACAAATAGTATAATTATTATGAAAATACTGATGAAAATATCGCATTATTTAACTTGCATTTTATCAGTTTTCTTTCAGATGACATTTCTTATTCCCGTCCTTATTGTCTGAATATATAATGATTAGAGAGACAAAATTCACATAAACATCTATATTAGATGATTCAAGAAAATTGCCTTAAAGACTTTCGAGTCTCCGATAGTGTAAGATTTATCGGCGCGTGTACCTTAATTTTTAGGACAACTATTTTATAAGATTTTATTTTCTTCAAATAGAACTCTGTCGCGTGTGTGCAGATGTGGTTGTATATGTATGTATGAATGTGTGTATGCTAAATCACAAACATGTTTATTTAGTTATTAAATTGATATATTGTAAAATTACTTGCAACACGCAGGGATTTAGTGAACGACAGAATTATTACCATTATTATGTTGATTTACATCGACTCATCGTTCTGATAAGTGCTTCATTAGACTGATAAAAAGAATAGTAATAATTTAGAAACTATTAGAATTAATAAAAACTGTTTTGTATCCCTGCATTTTATGCGAAAAGATTATAAATATGTTCACCAAAATTTTATAATGGTTATATATATAATTTCCTACAAATATATGCTATTCCTTTAAATCTTTTTCTTTGAATTTTATTCAAGATATAAATAAATATTTTAAACAAATAATAGATAATGTATAAAACATACAAAACTTTAGTAATTTTATTGAATATTTTCCTATCCTTTATATCTATCACAAGAAGCTTTAATTTCTTTGTATTCATAAATGTATTCTACTGTAATAATATTTTTACATAATATGTTTTTATAGTATTTTTGGGAAAATTGTATACATTTAGAAAATCTCAAATATCTAATGCAAAAAATACGTCTGTGTAAACTACAGATTATAAATAACTTTTGTTGCATTAAATTTTTATGGAAATGATTAAATTAATTCATGATAGTGAATTTATTTATATTAAATTGTGATATAAGAATTGTAATATATTATCATTATTAGCATAAGTGGTCGACAGCCAGATACAAAATAAATCAAATAACTGAAATAATGTTATATGATTTTAATTCTCAATTTACATTTCGATCTTATCAGTGCTCGAAAATTGCTTCTTATTGAGCTTCTTATGCAACTTCTTATTCAACTTCTGTAATTTAGATAACGCTTATCGTGGTCTAGAAATCTTAAATAAAAATATGTGTCCTTCGATACCTTCGATATCACCAATTACATTTCAATACTAGAACGGACAGCAAGCGCCATCCAACGGTTGCTTTATAATATATCTCAGAATTTCATTGTTTCTGCTTGTTCGCATTCTGTTTACTACTGTTTGCTGCTGTTTGTTACCGCGGTGAGCAAGAAATAGAACGATATATCATAATTATATGCATATAAACAATTAATATGCGTATTTTGTTATCAGCTAGATAAGCATTGAGATTTTATCGAACGCTATATATTTTGTGCTGCAAAAGATAAAGTGCTAAAAGAGAACGCATCAAACAAAAGTTAGGATGGCATCGGTGCAGGTATAGAATAATTTGTTATATTATTGGTATTTTATAATATTTTAATAATAGTAATATTAGTGATAATAATATAATGGTAGTGTATAAAATAATTATGTACAGAAAATACCTATTTTTCAGGTAAAGGAATTGGTGAACTTTTATAAATTAATAGCTGCACATCCGTCTTTAAATAACGCACGGATTCTGGGTACACCAAATGGCAGATTGTCCATACAAGGTACATGGACGCAGAGAAATTTGGAAAGAAAAACAGATCAACGGTTCCTGCAGAATTATGATTTAAACTCAGATTTGACTTCAGTCTATGCTGGATTTTCAATTGATGTCACTACAGAGTACATAATTTGACATATCATTAAATAATACAAATAGGTAATGCAAATCTTACTGAAAATCTGTTTTCAACAGGCTTATGTCCGCTCTAACAAGGGATGAAGCACGCAAAGCTGTGTTGCGACAAGCTATAATTGATAAATCTCCCAAGCAATTTATAGAAATCTGGGATAAGCACCATTTGGTGAAGAATTATGATTTGTCTGCCTTGGATGTTCATGGCGATGTCTATACAGATAGTAAGTAGATTTCAATTTTTCGCATTCTTTAAATGTGTTTAAAATGTTATTAATTATATGTTTCTTTTGCAGTTGAATTCCGTTCTTTTGAGTGGTCTCCAGACAATACCAAACTTCTCTACATAGCAGAAAAGAAACTTCCGAAGTCAGAACCATTTTATAAGCAAAAGCCATTAGACAAGAAAGATAAGGAAGAGAATGAGGATGACAAAGTAACAGTGGTAAGACTTCTTTATTATTATTTTTTTTTTGTAGGATATATATATATATATACTCTCCATCTGTGTGTGCATATTGTTTTATTTCTTATTTACAGGGCAATGAGTATATCTATAAACCACACTGGGGAGAGCAGCTGGTAGGCAAACATCGACCTGTTGTAGTGGTGCTTGATACGACAGAGGACACCATTACAGCTTTGCCTGGAATACCGGATGATCTTTCTCCTGGTCAAGTGATTTGGACCGAAGATCAGGATATAATCGGTGTTGTTTGGAAACACGAGCCGCAATATTTGGGTCTTACTGCATGCACCAATAGATATTCCTGGATATTCTTATTGAAAAATGAAGAATTTTGTAAGAAACATAGATAGCTGCTATAGAAGATATATATATATATATATAAAACACCAAGAAAAAAATTAATTAAACTTTTGTTACGCAGATAAATTGTCCGACGAAGGATATGCTGTGCACAGTCCTAGAATTAGTCTTAACGGAGAGTATCTCGTCTGGTTACAAAGGGAAGCTGGTGTTGTCCCACATCATAACGCACATGCACTCATATTACGGGATTTAAAAACAAAGAATAGTAATGTACGTAATATTATATTAAATTAATTAGAGAAAGAGAGAAAGAGAGAGAGAGAGAGAGAGAGAAATCAAAAATTAGATTAAATATGAACACATACACTAAATATCAAATTGCTCTGTTTACATTTAGAATAAAACAATCGTGGAAATAGCGGTCAAACAGATTATTAATGGTAAACATTTCTATGGAATATATGGCCGTTTACCTCGTCGTTGCTGGAGTGATGGTTCTCAGTACTTATTTTTCAGCACAACGCAAAGAAACAATATTGTTTCTTACATCTTAAATATAAGTAAGCAACTGGAATGCTATCAATAAAACAATGATTTAATTAGCATTAATACTTTTGCTGTGCAAAATTGCTTACCAAAAAAAAACAAATTTTATTTACAGAAACAAAAGATATCACAGAAATAAATAATACTCGAAGCAGTCTTTCTATACTGGATGTGAAAGAGAATGTAATTGCGTTTTTAAGCACTTCTTTAACACAGCCTCACAGTATTCTGGTGGGTCATTTCAAGAATGAAGCAGTTGATAGTGGCGATATCCCCAGGACTGTGATTACAACTCCAATGAAAATCGATGGTTTCGAAAAAATTACTTACGAACTTAATGAACATAAATATGACAGCAACGAGACCATAAGTATGTGACTGGAGTTATTATTTGCGCACTTTGTTTCTGCAATTACTTGAAAATATCAATACTCTCTATTTTCAGACGAATTCAATTATATTTACTTTGGTCCAAAAAGTGGTGAAAATAAATCCGTACCTTTGATAGTTGTGCCACACGGAGGTCCTCATAGCAATTACACAAATACATTTTCGCTGGATTATTCCTTGTTCATATTAGCAGGTAAATAGTTAAATCATATTTTTCGGCTCGAACAATTAATTGATTTACTAATTAATTAATTTCAGGTTTTGGAATAGTACAAGTGAATTATCGCGGTTCCACGGGAATGGGCAGTCAGACTGTAGAGTATCTTCAAGGAAAAGTAGGAGATGTAGATGTGAGGGATTGTTTAACCGCTACGGTGGAAGCCCTTAAAAAATATCCATGGCTAGATTCTGAACGCATCGGTCTTTGTGGCGGATCTCACGGTGGATTCTTGGTGGCGCATCTGAGTGGACAAATTCCAGTAAGTGAATCAAATGATGAATTTGTACAAAAGAGGTAATTAACACAGATACCAAGCAAGATATTAATTATTCTTTCAGGATTTCTTCAAAGCAGTGGTTGCAAGAAATCCGGTGATCGATATCGCTGTGATGTTCGGTATATCGGACATTCCAGATTGGTAAAGAGATACTTAATATCTATTAACGATATTTCTCACGTCTTAATTATTCAATATCCAATATTTGTATTTCAGTCGCAATGCTCTGACTAAGGAAGAGAAAATAGCGTATCTTCGTAATGTGTAAGCTTAATAGTTACCTCAAAATAATTGCGACTAGTCTAAGCTTGACTGAAATACACTTTTCTTTTTTCTCCCTTGTTGTAAATGTATATAAATTATGTGACAACAGACACACACAAATGTATTTGTGTTCGCGTCAAGTTTACTACATTCACAAGAATGTAATTTAATTTTTCAGGTGCGCCGTAGAATCCGGTTTTCCTTACAACGTTCTCACCGATGTTGCCGAGCCGGCAATTGACATGTTCGTAAAAATGAAGAAATGTTCCCCCATCATGTACGTCGATAGAGTCAAGGCACCTACTTTGATCAGCATTGGAACAAAGGATCTACGAGTACCATCGTCTCAGGGAACGATGTGGTACAATCGACTGAAATCTAATAAAGTGAAAACCAAGTAAGTCAGAATTTTGTCTAAACACAGAAATAGTTTTTCGTAACGCTGTTGAAATATGTGACACGTTGCAGAATGCTCGTATACGATGACAATCATCCGCTATCAACTGGACCAGCTGAGATTGATCACATTATCAACGATTGTTTGTGGTTGCTCGAGCATACATCTAAGCATAAGGAATCCAAAGACAAGGAATAAACATTCATCTTGCAGTATTTCTTATACATATGTATATATAGATCTTTATTATCACAAATTGAATATTTACACGATATTATTACATAATCTTCATAAAGAGACTTATATAACATTCAATCTCCAAAATATACACACACACGTCTATAGGATTTGTATATTGTTATAAAATTTTTATACTTTATATATCCGTATAAAAATTGTTATAAATGTTATAAATATCAGCAGTGGTGTTGTTATAAATATATATCGCGCATACCTAAGTAAGATGTATCATTTATCAACGTATGCTATAATACAGCAAATTCGCGTACTACTCATTTTATGAAAGTCTATGAACACATTTTAGAATTTCGTCAGATATTTTTGTTCACAATATAATGTGTTACGCCTAATATTGTTACAAATATAACGGCTTATAATAACTTACATGAGAAAAGCTAAAGGCAATAAGAATAACTTTAGTTAATATATTTAAAAAATACTGCACCATCAACTTCACATTAAGAAGTCTCAAGTATTTCGTTGAACGTCAAATACGTTTTCTAGGCCTTTGTTTCTTCGTTGGTGATGCTAATGCTTCTTATAATATAGATTTTTCGATATTTAATAAAAAAATAATACAAAACGTCGAATTCAAACTTAGAGCTAAGTAATAGGAAAAAAAATAAAACTTAACCGAGCTTGTTATTAATTGCTGCACTTCCAATCTCACTAAATACATGAAACAATGAACGTATTACGTCCATATAATAGTACTGTGTGTAATGGCGTAACTGGATATGAACAATGAATAATATTTCAATTGCGAAGAAATTGCGTTGATTAAATTTATCAAAAATGCATGCAACATTCATTGATTTATTAAGGTTTTTTTTATTCGTAGGTAGCCGAAGAAAGAATAACATAAAATAAAGCTTTATTCGAGAAAATTTATCATCGAAAAATAGCATTTATTATGTGTCGCACAGCTTCGCGTTTCAGTTATGACTTTGTTTTTCATAACAATGACAACGTTCCAAAGCTATGATGCTGCCTGATTCGCACTACCGCGGAATATCGACTACACATAATCGAATCCAAAATTGTTGCATGCAATAGTTGTCAATTCATTAAAATTATTCTATTCATAAAATCCTGCTTTGTGTGTATATGTGAAAAAAGGATGGTCTAGTTACGTCATAGTGTTTACGTAACAGTTAATTAAAACATTAGACAATACGTTTTAATGCGCACAGTTCTATACAGGTTCAATAACTTACGATCTGGCAGGGTTACTTTGTTCGGGGAACAGTGAGTCGTAGCTGGGAGGCAGATCTTTGTCCGCGACAGGTGAGGTCACTACAACCTCCAGCATAGGAGCCGTGGGCACCGCGCGATTTGATCCCGAACCCCCATCGGCGTCTTGCGATAAAGAATCCGGCCGCGAGCACGCGTTTGGACCGGCGCAGTCCGACGACCAGCATAGCTTCCGTGATTTCTTGCAGATCCACAGGCACATAACAAAGACGATGAAGCACAGGATCATGGTGGTGACCGCTCCTATCGTGACTTTTGTCGCGGTATCATCTTTGGGATATTGATCTGTGGTCGTGTATGTGCAATCGTCCTCATCGAAGCATAAGCCGGTTGGGCAATTATAAATCCTATCGCATACGTACTCTTTCCGAATACAAATGCTGTTTCCAACGTGTTTGTAATCGCGATCTGCGTTGATGCAACCTACAAAGAAATTTATCAATGAGATTGTTTGTAATACATATTTATTATGTTTGTGTTTGATGTAGTTAGGGAAACTTACTTCGGTACGGAGTATAAATTATACTAAGATCTAGAGACTGGCCACTTGGCACTCTTTCTTTGGAGATAACTATTTCAGTTTCCAGTTCCGATGAACGAATGAGAGGGAACCATGGCACCGGTTTACTGACAGATTCGAATTCCGCAAACGAGTCATACAAGTTGTCACTCAAATCTCTTATAACATCATCTTGATCGGAAACTGGAGAGTCTGTTGACTTGCTGCGATCTATCTCTCCACAAATTTTCTTTGTTGAATGACCATCGCTCCTTTTAAACTAATCAAACATCTATTACAAGTCTAATATCACAAGTGTTAAGTGTAATTGTATCAAGATGTGATTTTAAGTAATTCTTTGCTCTATCACAATTAGCAATGGCCTACTACACATTTTTTTAATGTGAAATGCAAAATTATGCAATACACACATTATCTTTATGCTGACTAAGTTTACTATTTAAAAAACAATAAAGTTTACCTTTTTAGAATTGGAGAAAGTTAATCTTAAATTTGAGAAAATTTTATTTCAGCAAATTGGTTAAAACTATTAATTACATAAACAGAATTCTTGTCACATGTGATATTTTTGGAATTTTTCCTGCATGATCTATACATGATATGTTTATACATTATTAACAAAGCATAATTTTCTGTAAAAAAGATCATCAGAATAAATGCAAACTAAATATGCAACTGATTACTATTGGACATTCAAGAGACATTTTCCAGAGAGACTATAACTGATAATTATAATTAAATAGAAAACTTGATTGCACAAAAGTGAATAATACATAAAAATTTGGAACATGTTTTATAATGGCAACGAAGTTTGCCCAGTACAAATGACAAGAAATCAAAATAAATTTGTTATCAAATAATTTACTCCAAAACTCTGTCAACAAAATTTGGTCAAACTAAAGAAATATTTATTTTCCTCTGATATTATCAAATTCACCAGGAACATCGCTCACCTGTACATAATCCAAGCAATTATCGCTGCCGTTGCGTCGAAAAAACATCTTGTGGATGACCGCAAGAAGACCCTCATTCTTGGCGGGTTTGAAAACGAATATACAATTGCGATCGCCTCTTACGATCCATCGCTCTAACATGTTATGCGATGTGACGATTACCGCTGTACCGTTGCGCATACTGTGCGTATGCTTCTTGTTCAGGATATGACAGATCTTCTCTTCCTCGAGAGTATCTGCGGGAAAAATACACAGCGGTGAGGTTAGACGAGCGTGCACTTGTAAGCGAATAAATGGTGGGTTTTGTAGGCTAGCTTGAACTTACATTTATTGTAAGTGGCTTGGTGCACGCACGAGCACAGGTGCGCGATCACGATCAGCAGGTACACGATGGTCAAGACGCGTGGCTGGAGCATCTTCGAGTATGATCGCGCGGACCCGCGGGTGTCACAAAGCCATATAGGAACGTGGGAAAACACGGCACCGCCAACAGGTCGACGCAATGACGAATCACTGTTATTTTACCGCGCCGCGAGCGCGCGGTCCTACGAGATTATTTTCGTGGAATCAAGACGGCGGGCACACCGGAGCGCAGATTTTGCGACGTCGTTGTTGAACCATGTCACCTCCCACCCCTTTATTTCCCAGGTATTCTGCAACAATTTTGCAATGAAAAATCAGTTATGACGTCAGTTGACGTCACTGATTTCGAGAGAATCAAAGATCGATCATGTGATCGAGACATCGAAATTTGGCTGTTCAAAGCAACTTCACGTGATATTGCGAATTGAGCTAATTTCAGCTAATTAACGTGAATTAATGTGTGGTGCGAAGAATAGGAATCATTGACAATCATTGGAAAATAGAATTAGGATAAAAAATGTATACGTGCTCCGAAGCGCAGAATAAAAAGATTCACGTGGAATTTGGCGAAGTGGAGACGGGCGCCACAGCCATCAAGTGGATAGAGGTAGCCAACGAAAGTTCGGTTAGTACTTGATTGCTTTCATGTCAAAAGTTTGCTGTAAGAAACATTGCGCATTTATAATTAATGTTCATTGAATCGAATCGTAGACAGAGCAGATTTACGAAGCTCGGAGAGACGCTACCACCAATCCTCTAGACCATGTATTCGAATTATGCAGCTATTCGTGGACATTGTCTCCCGGCCAAATATACAAGTGCAGAATATACTACCGGCCGTTTGTGCCACTTTCCGTAAACGTAGATTATTTTACGATCATGAATTACACCGGCGAACGCGCAGAAATCAGAGTCCGTGGAATGTGTATCGGTATAAAACTTGTAATTTTCATTTTTAATCGTTGCAATTTGAAAGACCTCTTTTATTATTACAGAATTGATAAAGATTCAAACTTGCGAGAAATTTTTAATAACCTATAAAAAAAAAATTAACAAATTGCCGAAACATGACTGTCACTAATAAGATTTTGAAAGTTTTCTTTATTATTATTTTCTATTCTTGAAAAAAGAGACTCAATAAGATATGTATTTAGGATTCTTGAATGAATTATAACGTCTTGCTTAATTAGGTCGACGGATTACAAGTTGCAATGATTCATTAATTGTGCAAACACTATGTCTTAAAATCGTGATGATATTTACGACGAATACTTGCGTCACTGCGTGATGTATACTAATAATCCAGGACCTGTACTTTCCGTGTCCACAACAAGATTAGTCATGATGTGCGCAAGCGAGAGTCACGAAACGAAGAAGCGAATCAAACTTATTAATGATTCCAACGCTACGGCAATTTTTATGTTTGACATTGACCTGATTCAAAGATCATTCAAAGTGGATGCAAAGCGCGGACACATCGGGCCTTATTCTCGCAAATACATAACTATCACTTTTGCTCCTCGAGAAGTTGGAATCTACGCGTACCACTTGCCGTGCTTAATATTAAATCACGTAATAGAGAAATTTTAATTTTTAACAGTGTTATAAACATATTATCTGATATAATTATGTGTGTTGCAGCAAGATAATATCACAGATAGCATCTTGAATTAATAACTAATAATTAATATTACATTATATGTGTTTAATAATTAATAATTGAAGACTAATTAGCAACTTAATTGCATAAATCTCATAAATAATTAATATACGAGTAGATTTATAATATATGTTTTTATGAAGAAAAATTATTTCCATAATCTCTCATAAAATGTGTATAAAATAACTTCATTAAATATTAAAAAGATAAATACATTTTATAAAAACTTATTTTGAAAAATACATTAGACATTAATTATCAAAAGATAAATTTTACAAGATAATTTCTTTTGAATTCTTGCAGCAAAACGCAAAATTAAAATAAATAATGCCACACATAATTTTTTTGTTGTTTTAGCTTTATCTTTTTAATATTGTCATCTTATGATGCGTATGAAAGAGATTCAACGATAACATTTTCTAAATACAGAAGCCAATTATCATAGAACTGTACGGCTACTGTGTCTCAACATTACATAAAGCCGACATTCAGAATCGCTTTATTTATCCTGCAAGAGTGAAAAACAGCTTTGAAGGATACACGAGCGATACTATCGTTGCCACGCAAGATCTACCTACGATTTCTTTGTCGAAGAACTATATCGATTTTGGTCAGGTCGATGTGGAGATGGAAAATAATGCGCGGAAGATTCCAGAAACCTTCTGCGTCACTAATCACAGTCAATCCAATGTATTAATTAAATGGGACCAAGGTTAATATTTCTTGAACAAGTAGACGCTGACTCTGATTAATATTTATTTATTATAAATCTGTTTCCATTTTTAAAGTTACAATTGAAGCAAAAATTAAAATTAAATTTATTCATAATTATAAATTTACACATATCCTGCTGTTCTTCTATTAACAATTTATATGCTACTTTGCAGATGTCGACAACATTTTCAGTATAACACCTGCTATTGCGAATATATCAGCGAGCCAAACAACTTTGTTTGAAATCACATTTAATCCCGACAGAGGAAGCAACTTATTTGCAAAAGAACTTGTAGGCTATGTTTTTATTGAACAACAAAAAAATTATCATTACGAAGAAATTCTTGTATTTCCTACAATTACCTCTGTGCGATTAATCGGTATGTGTGTGTTCTAATTTATGCGTTTGCACAACGCTGCGATCACCTTCACTATCAATCTTGCAATTTTTTTATAGGCCACTCCTTTCCTATTTGTTCCGACGGTTGGATTCCCCAATACGAAATACCTCACATAATAAAAATGCCTCCTTGCGTACCGTCATTCCCGATTTACACCACATTTTTAATAAAAAAATTTGGACATTTGCCATTGATGTATCGCTTTGTACCGCCAGCATCGAGTCACTTTGTCGTGAAGCCGATGATGGGAATAATTCACCAGTATGTACTCGCATTTAACATAAAGTTTAATATTGTTTGAAATTATTTAAATTTATTGGGAAATCAATCATATTGCATACAGCGTACATATAAATAATTTAATGTTATATCTAATATTTTTTTTTATAAGCTATTTTTATTGAATTTATTTGGTAGATTTAATACGCTACTTTATCTTAATAATATTTTTAGAATCTATCAATTATCAAGCAATTATCACTGTTTTCAGAGATTATCAGATCATTGTAGTTGGAATGTTACCTGGCGCTGACAATGAAAGTGTCTACGTGGAACGTTGGGCAATACGTTTCAATGGAAATACAAAATCGGAATGTTTCATAGATTTTAGCGGATTTACGGAATACGCTAATGTCAGTTTCAGCGATCAAAATATCGTGAACTTTGCGCCGACTTTTCCAGGTTGCCAGCAACTGCAGCGATTCTACATGCGAAACATCACTCGACATGTGATAAGGTAAATTTTTATTCTAATATTTATTACAGAGAATACATTACATATTAATATCTGAGTTATCTAATAAAAATATATCAATCCAGTACATAGAAAATGTTAACGCAACATTGCGAATGTTACTTTTCATCAGAGCTTTAATGCAAAAATTTTTCATAGTTTCTTTCTTTCTTAATAGATTTTACAAGTATCATGCAAAAAATTAACATTCTATTTAATTAATTTCAATCTTTCAGATTCGAGTTTGTTAATCCTGTACCTGAACTCCAAATTCGAAATGAAAACGGTGAGATCTGCTCAAACGATATCGTCATTCACGAATGGAAGTTTTGTCCCACAATGACTGGAGATTACGAGTTTGATATAAATTGCAATTTAATTGTGTT